CTTGGGGTCTGAACAAATATCAAGCATGAACCTCAGAAACTATTCTTCAAAGGAGCCACAATTTGATTGAATTAGTTTGAAGAAAAATGTATGCCCCCTAAGGCTTTGATGAAAACAATAGAGCAATCAGCTGGCAACTAGTGGAGTTTAACAGCTGGATGTGGTTAGGGAAAGAGAGACAGAGAGCCCCACCAATATCACGGTTATTCCAGGGTGATTGTGGGCACACCCAAAGCTGTGCCTCCTCAAGGAACAACATCAGATGCTTAACACTGTATGTGGGGTGGGGGTCAAGATCTACTTCACTAATATAATCCAACTAGTCACCAAAAAAAATTAATTAGGGGCCGGCCCCATGGCCTAGTGGTTAAGTTCAGCATGCTCTGCTTTGGCAGCCTGTGTTCAATTCCTGGGCATGGCTCTACACACCAATCATCAGCAGCCATGCTGTGGCAATGACCCACATACAAAATAGAGAAAGATTGGCACAGATGTTAGCCCAGGGCAAATCTTCCTCAAGCAAAAATAGGAAGATTGGCAACAGATGTTAGCTTAGGGCCAATCTTCCTCACCAAAAAAAATAAATAAATAAAATTAATGATAACAAGCCCCAGGGTGGGGAGGGGACCAATACCCAGAGTTGCTACAATACATTATCTAAAATGTTTAGTTTCTAACAAAAAATTATGAGACGTGCAAAGAAACAAGAAAGTATGATTCATACATTGGGAAAAAAAGTAAGCAACACAAACTGCCTGTGATAGCAAGCAGATGTCAGATCTACCAGAAAAGGATTTCAAAGTAGTCATTACAAATATGTTCACAGAACTAAAGGAAAGCATGGTTAAAGAAGTAAAAATAGATATGATGACAATGTCACATCAAATATAGATTATCAATAAAGAGAAAGGAATTATTTTTTTTTAAAAAGAACCAAAGGGAAATTCTGGAGTTCCAAAGTGCAACTGAAATAAATAATTTACTACAGGTGCTCAATAGTAGATTTCAACTGGAAAAAGCAACAATTAGTGAATTTGAAGATAGTTCAATAGAGATTAGGCAAGCTGAAAATCAGAGAGAAAAAGAATGAAGAAAAGTGAACAGAACCTCAGAGAAATGTGGGACACCATCAAGTGCATCAACATAGGCATAATGAGAGTACCAGAAGGAGAGGAAAGAGAGAAAAGACTAGAAAAAATGTCCAAAGAAATAATGTCAGAAAACTTCCTAAATTTATTGAAAAACAATAACCTATACATCCAGGAAACTCAATGAACTGCAAGTAGGATAAACATAAAGAGATTCACAAACAGACACATCACAGTAAAAATGCTGAAAGTCAAAGAGAAAATCTTGAATGCAACAAGAAAAAAATGACTCATCACTTAAAAGGGAACACCAATAAGATTAATAGCCAACTTCTCAAAATAAATAATGCAGTGGGATAACATAGTCAGAGTGATGAAAAAAAAAAAACTGTCAACCAAGAATCATATATCCAGCAAGGCTATCTTTCAAAAAATGAAAGCAAATAAAGACATTCCAAAGTAAGCAAATAAGAACTGAGTGAATTTGTTGCTAGCAGACCCACCTTACAAGAAATACTGAAGGAAGTTCTTCAAACTGAAAGCAAGTGACCTCAGATGGCAGTTCAAACACACACACACACACACACACACACACACACACACAAAACAGAGAGCACTCGTAAAGGTAATTATGTAATTATAAAAGACTGCATAAATGTATACTTCTCTCCTCTTTTTCCTTAACTGATTTAAAAAACAATTGTATAAAATAATATGTATATGGTGTACAGTTGGGCCTATAACATATAGGAATGTTATATATTTGCCAAAAGCAGCACATAAGAGGTGGATGGGAGTCAAGCTATATTGCTAAGGAAATGACTACAGATGGTAAAGCAATAATTATAACAATGTATTGTTGGTTTTATAAAATTAATGGACATTACAAAATTAAAATAGGTCTAACAATAATATCACTAAACGTGAGAGAAGGAATAGAGCTATATAGAAGTATGTTTCTATATATCATATATTATATATACCTATATATTCCATATATATGGAATTAATCTGGTATACACCTGAAGGTGATTCAGATAAGATGTATTTGGTAAACTCTAGAGCAACTATTTAAAAAATAGTTCAAAAATATAGTGAAAAAATCATTAAAGAGATTAAAATGCTATGTTAGAAAATATTCACTTAATGCAAAAAAAAGTCATAAAGAAGGAATAGAGGAACAAAAAATAAGATACATAAAAAAGGAAAAAGTAAAATGGCAGATGTAAATCCAACCTTATAAATGATAACAATAATAACAATTCAATAAAAGAGCACAGATTGTGAGATTGGATAAAAAAATGATACAACTATAAGCTGTCTACAGGCAACACACTTAAGATTCCATAATACACATTGATTGAAAGTAAAAATTTGGAAAAAGTTATATCATGAAAACAGCAACCACAAGAAAGCTGAAGTGGCTATACTAATATCAGACAAAATAGACTTCAAAACAAAAGAAAGTTACTAGAGATAAAGAGGGACATTTCATAATGATAAAAGGGTCAATCCATCATGAAGATACAGCATTTACAAACATATATGCATCTAACAACAGAGCTCCAAAATATATGGGGCAAAAACTGATAGAATTGAAATGAGGAGTAGTTCTACAATAATAGTTGAAGACTTTATACTCCACTTCCAATAATGGATAGGAGAACTATACAGAAGATCAACAAGGAAAGTGAAGACCTGGGCAACACTAAAAACCAACTAGACCTAACACATATATATAGAATACTCTACCCAACAACAGAATATACATTTTTCTCAAGTGCACATGGAGCATTCTCCAGAAAAGATCATATGTTATGCCATAAAAGGAACCTCAAGAAATTTAAAAGGATACTAACAATACAAAGCACGTTCTCTGATCACATGGAATGAAATTAGAAATCAATGGCATGAAAAAAATGTGGGAAACTCACAAATGTATAGAAATTAAACAAAACACTCCTAAATAACAGATGGATCAAAGAAGAAATCAAAAGAGAAATCATAAAATACTTTGAGATTAATGAAAATGAAGATATAAGATACCAAAACTTATGGGGCGCAGATAAAGCAGTGCTCAGAGGGAGATTTATAGCTGTAAATGCCTATATTAAAAAAAAGAAAGGAAGATCTCAAATCAATAACCTAACCTTACACCTTAAAAATCTGGAAAAAGATGAGCAAACTAAAAGTAAATCAAGCAGAAGGAGGAAAATAATAAAGATAAGAGTAGAGATAAATGAAATGGAAAGTAAATAAAAAATAGAATCAATGAAACCAAAAATTGGTTCTTTGAAAAGATCAACAAAATTGACAAACCTTTAGCTAGATTTACCAAGGAAAAAAAAGAGAAAAGACTCAAATTACTAGAATCAGAAATGAAAGAGGTGGCATTACTACTGACTTTAGAAAATCAAAAAGGATTATAAACGAATACTATGAATAATTGTATGCCAACAAATTGGATAACTTAGATGAAATGGAGATATTGCTACCAAGATACAAACTACTGAAACTGACTTAAGAAGAAATAGACAATCTGAATAGACCTATAACAAGTGAAGAGATTGGATTAGTAATCAAAACACTACTCATGGTAAGTGAAAGAAGGCAGCTACAAAAGTCCACATATTGTATGATTCCATTTATATGAAATGTCTAGAACAGGGAAATCTATAGAGACAGAAAGGAGATTATTGTTGCGTAGGTCTCGAGGTTGAGGGGAAAAGAGGCATGACTGTAAATGGATACAGGATTTCTTTTTGGGGTGATGAAAATGTTCTAAAATTGATTGTGGTGATGGTTGCACAACTCTGCGACTATACTAAAAACCATTGAATTGTACACTTTAAATGAGCGAACTGTATGGTATGTGAATTATATATCAATAAAGCTGTTTTAAAAATAATTGAATAAGGCAATGATAAAGGATTACATATAAAAAAAATACAAAGGATTTGAAGAGGCAATTCCCAGAAGAGGAAATGCAAATGGTCAATGCAATGAGACACCTTTTTATTTAACTACATCAGATTGGCAAGAATTAAGAATATGATATATGATGCTTGGAATAATGGAAAGAAATGGTCTTTTCCCACATTGCTGACTAGAATTTAAATTGCTAAATATTTTTTCAAAGTATAGTGCCTGTATGTTTTACATTTAAAATATGCATACTCTTTGATTATCTGGTCCCTCCTGTAAGACTTTATCTCATAGAAATAATGTGTGTGACTATACTTAGAATCTTTATTGTAGCATTGTTATGGCAAAAGGAAAATGAGTTGGAAATGCAGAGATGTCTATGATTCTTTAACTGCAAAAAGCAAGTGTCAGAGTAATGGTCCAATCTGATCCAATTTTTGTAAAATCAAACAGCAATAAATGTGTATAAATACACGTGGAAGAAAATATACCAAGCTATTAATACCTTGGGGAGGGAGGGGGGCAGATAATTATGGAGTTTCCTTTTTATGTACATTTTTATATTGTTTCACTAGTTTTAAAGAAAAGGTATTACTTTTTTTTTTTTTTTGCTGAGGAAGATTGTCCCTGAGCTAACATCTGTGCCCATCCTCCTCTATTTTGGTATATGGGATCCTGCCACAGCATGGCATAAGCGGTGCAGGTCCGCGCCTGGTTCAGGGCCTGCGAACCCTGGGCCGCTGAAGCGGAGCGCCGGGACTTAACCACTATGCCACCTGCCGGGCCCCCTTACTGTGGCAATTTGAAAGATAAAGAAAATTTGTAATTAAGAAGAGGGGTTGGGTGGAGGAATTAGAAATAAAGGGAACAGAGCTGTTTTCGTGGCCGTTTTTGTGTGCGCTCCTCTTAGAGACAGTGCGGCGGACCCTGGCGTAGCGTCTACTCGGGCGATTACAGTAACCTGGTTGTCAGTGATGAGTCAGAGTGCGCGGTGCTGATGCTGCTGCCATTTCATCACCCCTGCGAGCACAGCATCCATCCCTCCGCTCTCCCTGCGCCTGGGCCTACCTCGCCTCGGGCTCCCAGGCCAGCGATGCGCTCGCGGCCGATCTAGATCCGGATCGAGCCGCGCTCTCCGAGTCCTCGGCGGAGCGCCCCCTCTCGCCGCCCACGGCCCAGGCCAAGGAGACCTGCCGAGCCCCGGCCATGGAGGCCATTTGGCTGTACCAGTTCCGGCTCATTGTCATCGGGGATTCCACGGTGGGCAAGTCCTGTCTGATCCGCCGCTTCACCGAGGGCCGCTTTGCCCAGGTTTCGGACCCCACCGTCGGGGTGGATTTTTTCTCCCGTCTGGTGGAGATCGAGCCAGGAAAACGCATCAAGCTCCAGATCTGGGATACCGCGGGTCAAGAGAGGTTCAGGTGGGAGCGCAGTCCGGGCCCGCGAGCAGTGGGAGGGTCTTCGGGGCTTGCACAGTCCCTGGGGAAAAAGGACTTCCTGGTCCTGGTCGCGGCCAGTAGGGACGATACCAAGGGTCTGGGGGTTTCTGCTCAAGCCCACCTTCAGCTAGCTGAAGTGCAGGGAAAGAAGCGCCCTGGCAGGGAAGGCCCGTCTATAGTACGTATTGCTTGCACCACTACTCCACCAACCTGCCCCTTGGTGGCTAATAAACTAGCTGGAATTGATTACTGTAATTCATCAATCTCAGTGCCTATGCTACATACTTTTAAAAATGTTCCCGGGTCATCCTGACATAACTGTCACATATAGATAGATAGGCGATATAGAGATAGATACAGGTATAGATATATTATATCCATATGAAATAGATACTGATGATTGACGACTTCTTGCAACCAGCTCACATTCAGTGATCATCCGCTACGTGCAAGACACTGGGCTTGTTTCTGGGGAAAAAGCCTGAGGAAACTCACACAAGGGGATGCCATGTAAACAAAACAGACACAGGCCCTTCCCTCTTACAACTTCTCTGCTAGCATAGTAGGGGGAAATAGATAATGAGCAATTACACAAAGGAGTGTCTTGTTCATATTTGTATGCCCACTCCCTACTATAATGCTTAGCACATAATGAGTAATCAATGAACAGGTTTAATTTTCTCTTACAATGCTTTGCTTTTCCTTTGTAGTATGTATCGTTTGTAATTATATGTATGAACACAGAGGAGGGTAGGCTTCCTGGAGAAGATGAGGCCAGATGAGTATGACTACCCAAGAAAGACAGGAAAAGCCCAGAGAGAGGAAATACCATGTAGAAAGACAGAAGTGCGAGAGAGCAGTGTACACACAAAACTTTGAGAGAGCAATTTGGGTTAAAGTCATGTGGTGTAGCAGGAACTAGATCAAAATGACTCAGTAGCCCATATTTATGATCATTTATTTACTTATCTATTGAACACTAATTCAGCATAGAAGATACTGGTTAGGTAGTTGAAGAGGAGTAGGGAGAAGAGATAATTACAAACTTAAGTTGTCTCCAACTCCCTACCTTCACAAACAACACTTTGACAAATATCCTTGTACAGGTTCACTTTGAACTTGTCATTGCATTTCTCATATTATAAGTGAAGAAAGGTGTCTTTTACATGTTTATTGGAATTTCTGTATGAACAGCCTTTTCATATCCACTACTTATTTATTGGATGATATTGATTTGTAAGAGTTCTTTATAGATTAATAATATTAATTATTTTCTGTCATGTATGTTGTAAAATATTTTCCCAGTTTGTCATTTGTTTGTTAACTTTGTTTAAGAAACATTTTTAATGTAAAGAAGGTTTTAATTTTTATGTAGCCTTATGTTTTGCTTAGAAAGGGCTTGGTTGCTTTCTAAATACTCACAAACCATTAATGTAATAATGTATTTTAGACTTCTGACAGGGATCTACAGCTTGCTTATTGATTTCTTAAACCAAGCTGTTCATAAATCAAAAGCTCTGTTTGTTCATGTCAAATTTTCTGGTACACCTACCATTCTCCATGAATCTTCAAACATAAGGGAATTAGAAATGCTTTCAGTCTCCAGGGCTGATTTGCCTGGTCCTGGAGACTTGAACTCACTTGTAAGGTTTGCTCTTATCATCATGTAGCTTGGACTTTAATTCACTGGACAACGTTTTTTTTTTTGTGAGGAAGATCAGCCCTGAGCTAACATCCATGCTAATCCTCCTCTTTTTGCTGAGGAAGACCGGCTCTGAGGAACACCTATTGCCAGTCCTCCTCCTTCCCCCCCCCCAAAGCCCCAGTAGATAGTTGTATGTCATAGCTGCACAGCCTTCTAGTTGCTGTATGTGGGACGCGGCCTCAGCATGGCCGGAGAAGCGGTGCGTCAGTGCGCGCCCGGGATCCGAACCCGGGCCACCAGTAGCGGAGCGCGCGCACTTAACCACTAAGCCACGGGGCCAGCCCTCCCTGGACAATGTTTGTTCTGTTATCATTTGGCTATTTGCCCTAAGTCTTAAGCTATTGAGTCCCTCATTGTTTATCTTCTTCATCCAAGGAGATCGAAAACCTAAAAATAGACATAGATCAAAAAGCACAGTCATCTAAAACAAGTGATTGTAGAAGCAAATAGTTGTACACCTTCTAATAAGCTCTAATGCACTCTAAGCAAAGTACCATAATGTATATTGATAATGAAGCTCCTCAAATCAAGAAGTTAAAATATATGAGGTTTCTTCTGTTTAAGAAGTACAGCAAATGTATAATAGGATTTAGAAATATTCTAATTACAATCCTTTAAATAAATCATGTCATTTCAAAGGGAAACTTTGGGTATTTAGGCAGTTTTTGCCAGCTGGGGGCTCCTGAGTCAGCCTCTCTGAAATGTGTCAGGAAGTAGAGCTGACAGGCACTTTGCTCAAGGCCTTTGCAGATCATCCCTCTTTTTCCCATTCCCACATGGCCTGAAAAGTAAAAAAAATTGTGTTTCTCTTCACAGAAGAGATTGAGGACCCCTGTTGGATTATTAGAATAATAATAATAACAATAGAAAGACAAACATGGTAATGATAAGTGGAGTATATTGCAATATACCTATATATTTATAAGCATTTTCTGTCAATGATCATAAATTCATTTTTATTTTTTAAAAAATCCTGTTTCAACTACTAGAATTTGTGATGAGCTCTCCTGGTCACAGAACACTATAATATCTATTATTTCATTTTGCCTCATGATAACCTGGGACTTAGGTATCCCATTTTGCAGAAGAGGAAGTCTCATTCAGTTTTCCAGATGTAGGGGTGGGAGAGTTAGCTTTGGTTCTACCTGCATCAAAGAAAAAATGCCTGTAAGTCCATGAGCATTCATTTCTAGAAGATGCCATCTCAAAGTTTTGCCCCATTGAAAATTCACATATCATTATTATTATGGAATGAAAATTTGTATTCCTTTGTTAAAAAAAAAAAGAATCATTTTTACTAAAGGACTGTGTCAGTAACCAGAGACACTAGAATACCCTATCTGAGTTCATTGAAGTGCAGGAGTTTGGGCATGGCCTTTATTCTTTACTTCTTTCTTGTGTTTTAGATCCATCACTCGCGCCTACTACAGGAACTCAGTAGGTGGTCTTCTCTTATTTGACATTACCAACCGCAGGTCCTTCCAGAATGTCCATGAATGGTTAGAAGAGACCAAAGTACACGTTCAGCCCTACCAAATTGTATTTGTTCTGGTGGGTCACAAGTGTGACTTGGATACACAGAGGCAAGTGACTCGCCACGAGGCAGAGAAACTGGCTGCTGCGTACGGCATGAAGTACATTGAAACGTCAGCGCGAGATGCCATTAATGTGGAGAAAGCCTTCACAGACCTGACGAGAGACATATATGAGCTGGTTAAAAGGGGGGATATTACAATCCAGGAGGGCTGGGAAGGGGTAAAGAGTGGATTTGTACCAAACGTGGTTCACTCTTCAGAAGAGGTTGTCAAATCAGAAAGGAGATGTTTGTGCTAGTCAGCCCTTTTATTTCCAAAACATGCTCTCCCACCTGAACTTAAAAGTGATCAAAATGAATAGAATCTTTGTGTGATTGAAGAGAACTCAACCTCCATTTTGAATACTAAGTGAGCCTCCTTCCAAAGGGGGACTCTGACAGGCCATGGGTGGGCAGATGGGGGAGCCTGGGTGCTGTGACTGAGGGACTAAATTATTGACATGGGCCAGGCACTGTTTTCCTGCGGGGCAGTGGCTGCTCTGTGTGCCCTTTGTGGACCACATGTCAAGGGGCTGAGATTTGGGGAGTTAGGCCCCAGAAAAATATACCCACAGACAGGACAACTATTTCTTGGTATTTCAGCTCAGTCATAGGTCACAAACAAAAAGAAATATGTAAAGGGGAAAAAAGTATCACATTGGCAACAATTAGCAAAAGCAGAAAAGACTATGAGATCAACTTAGTGAGAATATCCTACACCAAATCTGTGTGCTGGGTTTGATTAACAGGTACCAATTAGCTTATAAACAGCTCATCTGTAAAATGAGGGGTGTGGACCAACTATTTACTAAGACCCTTTCAGGGCCTGGTGTTCTACTAAAAATGGTGTGAATATGAAAAGGGAGGCTATTTACACAGCTGTGTAAAAGAAATTGTCCCATGCAAATATGGTGTAAGTAGAAGAGAGAAACACTGCAATCCAAACACCACGCCCTTTCTCCCCTCTGACAATGCCTGGGGTTTCACCGCATTGGCGACTGCAATCTAGAAGTAAGCAACCTGTGGCCTCTTCAGGTACCCGAAGGCAACAAAACAGGGATTTGCCTCTGGTGGTGAGCATGATGCAGTCTATATAGAAATTGATATATAATAATGTACACCTGAAATTACACAATGTTATAAGCCAATATGACCTCAATAAAATATTTTTTTTTAAAGAAAGAGCCCTGAGGCAAACACTTGCTCATCAATCCTGTACTGAGTACCTGCTCAACAGGAGGCGCTGTAACCCTTACAAACATGGTACAGTCACTTGAGTTACTTATTTGATCATTATAACAGGCCTGTGAGGTTTTCTTCCTCATTTTACAAAAGAATAAACTAAGAGCCAGGAGACTCACTTGGCCAAGGTGAAGGTCTCCTGACTCCTAGTTCTTGTTTCACTGCATCATCCTGCTGTCAGATGAATGAACTGTTATTAATTTGTTTACTTTGGAAGAGATATAACTGTAAATAAATGTTCTCTCCATGTTAGGATATGTTTCCTTATTGATTACAACTCAGATATAATCCTGAGGGAACCTGGGGATGAATCATAGGTAAAGCCCTTTCAGGTATTATTGACAAGAGGACTTTAAACAAGTGAATAATTGCACAACTGAGAATACATTAGAACTGTGTGGGCTATAAGTGTTCTTATCACTGAAACATAGTGGACATATTATTGAAAGGAACCAAATGCAGCTGGGGAGTGGGGTGGGGGAAAAAGACTCACCTTACAATGACCTTGGCCACCTGTTTGCCATATACCTACACTGGGTTCCTGTCTACCCTCGAGAGTCAGCTCTTAATTCTCAGGTGAACAGACAGCTAACTGAGTCATAAAATTGGAATCGTTGGCTTGAGGTTCCATTATCTTCTTGAAGAGAGGTGATCCTTTAAATTTTTTTTTGGATTATAGCCAGTTCAGCTAGGCAAAAGCCATACTTTTCACAGTAAGAAAACAATTCTGATTAGAGTCAGGTTTCTCATATCCATTGTAATAGGAATGCCTGAGAATGGTAAATTGCTTTGAGAACTTCAGTATGAATGTGACTGAATCTGAAAGTTTGGGAATTTACTTCAGCCAGAATAAAGAAGCCAAATGATGAAAATTATGGAAACAAACCACCTTGGACCAATCTGCAGCATCAACTACAAGCAAACCAATCATCATCTCTACATTCGTTTAACATGACCTGGCTAGGGTGGAGTCATTAAGTTGCCAGCTTTGTGGTTGTAGAAGGCAAATAAAAGATGATAAATTGGGTTAACACAAAGCAAGTTATCCAGTGGATAAACAAGAGTTGACTGGATTCTGTCAGTTCAAAAAACAGGATACAAACAAAACTTCTCTATGGTTTTCTTGACTAAAATACATTATTTGTATACTTTTCCCACTCCTTCCATTTGTTTAGGCAGGTTTAAAAATACTCAGCATAGATCCAGCAGAGGTGACTGGGCTTAAATTGCTTAAACAAATTCTAGAAACTTTAAAAGTCATTTTAGTAGACTTCAGTGCTGTTGTCCCTGCACTAAGTGGGTTTTAGAAAATAAGTGTGAAAAAATCAGGTGTTAATACAATACTAAGGATAAAGCTTTAGAAGCTATTTTACTACATAGGTAAAGAAAAGATAAACTAACTTGTAACGAAGACCACAACTGCATGTTGGATTAGATTGTCTCATATTCCAGAATAAAATGTACTGTATACTTTTCCTCACTTTGTTGTGCACTGTAATGAAATGTGAAACAATGTTTTCTTTAGCTGTATGTGAATGAAAATATGCTTGTACTTTAGTAAAATGGTTGATTATGTGACTGTGAGATTCCAAGTGTGTATTATAGCTATTTCCAGAGTCTGTCAGTACAGTGTAGCAAACACTACCAAGGATATCAATTAGGTATGACATATACTATGCACAACATTATTCACCAGTATCTCAAAGCCAGAAAGAGAATATGATTTTTGAAAGTTATGTGATCATCATGTTGAAAGTCACAGAGACCTCACTACTGCATGGGAATCCCATGCCATTTTGGAAAAGTTGGTCTGTTAAGTCTAAATCTGAATCATTGCAATTTTCAGTCAAGGATCTTAATTCTGATGTCAGGTAGCTGATTACAGCTATGGTCTTCCCTGGAAGGTCTTCTTTTCTCCAGGCTAACTTGCCTCAGCTTTTTCAAGTCCTACTATGGCATGCTTTTTGTGTCAGGATCACTTAGAGTGTGGGGCCCAGATTGGAACATAATAGTTCAGAACATTGCCTAGGGTTTATAGTACATATTTAGGGGAGAGTGAAAAAAGGGAAAGATGTTTCATTCTGAGTCTAGGCATAGGTAGGCTGAGTTCTGCACAGCTTTATCGCTTGTATAATCATGAGTGAATGAGGGAGGGAGGGAGCAAGGAAGAAAGGAAAAACCAACAATGCAACAGCATATAATATAGTTCATTACTCTGTTCTCCTTAAAACACTCCCCAGGGCTTGATCATCTTTTCCTCAGTTCTATTAATTCCCTTGGCGACCTCATTCAGTCCCTAGTTGTAAATACCATCTATAAACCAATGAATCCTGAATTTATATCTCCAGCTTGTCTCTTTCCCATGGACTCTAGACCTTTATAACCAACTGCTTACCCGACATCTCCATTTGAATGTCTATTAGGCATCAGAAATTTAACATATCCCAAACCAAGCTCCCAATCTTCCTCCCCAAATTAGTTCCTCCCTTAGCCTTCCCCTCCTCAGTAAATGGCAACTTTGTCCTTCCATGTACTCTTGCCAAAAACCTTGGAGTCATCCTTGACTCCTCTCTTTCACAGTCCACATTCAATCTATCTGGAAGTTATGCTGGCTCTACCTTAAAAGTATAACCAGAATCTGACAGCATTTCACAATTTTTACTGCTAACACACTGGTCCTGGCAACTATCATTTGTTGCCTGAGTTATTGTAATAGCTGGTCTCCCTGTGTCCACTCTTGTCCCCCCCACAGTCTATTCTCCACACAGCAGCCAGAGGGAGGCTGGTAAAACATTAGCTATAAGCAATCATCTGTTCATAATTCTCCAGTGGTTATCCATTTCACTCAGCTTAAACCCAAAGTCCTTCCAATGGCCTGCAGAAGGACCCTTAGAAATGAATTCCATCCCCATCCCATCACCTCTGTAACCTCGTTTCTTACTGCTGACCCCTTGATCATTCTACTCCAGCTACACAAGTATCTTTCCTGTTCTTCAAACACACCAAGTCCATTTACATCTCAGGGCCTTTGTACGTGCTCTTCACTCTATCTGGAATTCTCTTTCCTGAGATATCTGCATGGATTTCTCCCTCACCTCCACCAAGTTCTGGAACCAACAGCTTCCAAAATCTGCAAGCAGCTTCCTGATCCTAGAGAAAAGTGGCTCCAGAAGCCATTTCTGACAGCTCAATGTAAAGTCTAACTCTTTAGCCTTCCCTGGGGAACAACAAAGTTTAGGGTGTACAAAAAACGGAAAGGAAACTTAGAAGGAGAGAATGGAAAACCTGGAGAGTACTGTTTCACAGGAAGGAGTGGACAATAGTATCACAATGCAGCAGTGGTTTCAGAAAAAGACTAAAAAATGTATCCATAGGATTGGATATATTCCAATATAGGAGCAGGAAAGGAGGGAGCAGGAAATCATGAGTGACCTTTGCCAGCATAGTGTTGGTGGAATGACTTCTGCCTACCCCAAGACTTCCTTCTCAGGAAGATGGTGTTCTCAGTTCTGTTGGAGGCCCAGTTCTTTTCTTGCTCTTCATCCTCTCCTCTCTCTAGACATTCTTACCTACTCTCATGACTTTAGTTACTATCTTTGCATTGATGACTCCTAAATGAAGGACTCCAGCCCACTCTTCTGAGTATTATACCAATACAGCCAACTTGCCTACTAAACACATCCACAAATTCCTCAAACTCAACATATCCAATATGAAATCAACATCTATCAAAATATGCTCGTTTCACCCCGGTCTTTCTCATCTCTATAAATGACACCACCATCCACCTCCTTGTTCAACAGAGAAATTTAGGCGTTTTATCCTTAATTCCTCACTTCCCCTCACCTCCCATATCAAATCCATCATCAAGCACTACCAGCTCTATTTTCAAAATATGTCCAAGTCGGCCATTTTTCTCCATCTCCATCGCTATGACCTTAGTCCAAGCCACTATCAACTCTTTCTTGAACTACTTCAATATCTTCCTAACTGGTCTCCCTACTTCTCTTATTCCCATGATACATCCTCAACATAACAGCCAGAATGATCTTTTCAAAACAGAAATCAGATCAAGTCATTCCCCTGCTTAAAACTCACCAATGGTTTCTGATCACATTTAGAACAAAATCCAAATAAACCTTACATTTCTTAACGTGGCTACAAGGCCTTGCATGATCTGGCCTCTGCCTCCTCCAATGGTAAGCTCCATGAAGGTAAGAATCTTATTCATCTTGTTCACCAGTACTTCTGCAATCTATAGCATAGACATATGCTTGAATAATCAATTTAAATAATCATTGACTTTGTTTCCCTCCCTCTTTCTCCTGGCTTTTGTGGTCAATTGCATTTAAACCATCAGTTCCTAAAAAAATAGTTGTTAAAAGTTTGGCCTATTTCCTTCTAGATTTTTGTATTTTAGTTTTCAAAAGGTTATTTAACATAGTGGTTTAAGAGTATAGATTTTGGAGTAAGACAAATATGGGTTCAAATTCTAACTCTGCCAGTTAATAGATGAGTGATTCAATCTCTCTGAGTCTCAGTTTACACATATATTAAATTGTGTAATAATAGTGTTTAACTCATAGGGTTGTTGTCAGGATGAAATGAGATAATCCATATAAAGCACAAGCCCTGGCA